CAGAGTTGATAGACTGTCCTGAGAACTCGCGAAGGTAGGCCCGAAGCCAAGTCATCATACGATCTTTAAAAAGGTAATGAGACAGCGCAGCAGTAGTATATAGAGATACCAGAACCAGTGTAAATAGAATTAATATGGAACAAAGTGGTTATGTGGAATAAAGAAAGTAGGGATTTAATAATTTAGGACATTATTTTAGGAAATAAGATGGGTGTAAAATAAGAATAATAGCATCTATGAAGGGAAATGGAAAGTAGTTAAAGGGAGAAAGCGCTTTGCTACGCACCGCTTTAATAGCTTGACACATCCTAAATCTAAAAAACTAAGCGAAAAGAAATGTAACTAGTGTACAACTCTGCGACCCTTACTTCGGAAAAATGCAATGAGAAGGGAATAACAATAAGTCAATTCTCGAAATGCATAGGCTATGATAAGTAAAAAATTCAAACATAGAGCAAAGAAAAAAAGTAATGATTATATAAACTAAATTCATAAAGCAAGAGGCCTATTTGACTGCGGTGAATGAAAGCCATCAATCCGAGAACACAAAATATTTTGCAATAAGTGGGTCCGGCGAAAAAAAAGCATCCGAACAGAAAGTAGCATAAGAATGATGAAAATATGAACTTAAAAAGTTGAAGAAATTTCCAAGTAAACATCTAACATATCCGCATATACCGTAAATATGAAGATCAAGATTATTGAGGGTTAGGTTTGGATACTGTCTATTTTAGTTATAAAAGCTTGGATTGAGGTAATATTTTAAGCTTAGTAAGAAAAACATAAAGAGATTGTCCGATTTTCCGCTCCATATAACTTGTCAAATTTTGAAAGATCCTGCTAATAACCCAGTAAATTGCGAAAACAAGGTCAATCTGTATATAGTATTGGTTTGATGACATTTTCGCAATTTGATTGGAGCGACGGAGAGACCATGTGGAACGAACCTAATCCTGCATCCACTGCTATTCATTATGATTCCCAGTATCAGAATGTTGACTTGGCACATCCTTAGAAGTGTCGCCGGCACCGATAGTGACAAGTTCCATCCTTAACACGAGTTACAACTTATCAAAGTAGCAAGTGAGAGCAATGGACTTAACCGATTTTATGTTAAACTCTTGTGGCATATCTTTCAACTTTACTTCAATATGGCCCATTTACCTATTAAAACAATTGTATCTTCTCGTTTCCCCCAATGTTGCATAAGTCACTTCAAGTCGATTTAGTGAAACATAACCATCTTTACTACCGGTTTCAGACGCCATTCACAGGGGTGCTGGGTGATGACTTCTGAATTTCTTTTAACCCCTTCACTCCGCTTGTCAGTTTTTCCTGTCTATGAACAAAAATCAGTCAGGCTGTCTGAAATCTAGATGCCTATAAACCTTCTGATTCTGATCCCCGTTTACGTGATATTCGAGAATTCGGCGATTCCCATGCCTATGCGTCTTCTCCTTAAGCTCCAGACCCATCACCTAGTTATTCTCTTTCTTGTCCTCGCCCCATTATCAGTAATTCTTTGGAGCAATGTCCGGCTTGATTATGAACTGCTGGTGTGAAGATAGACCTCTTCCATGAATTTAAATATTTAAAGAATCTTCTCCAATATGCATAGGACATACTGAGCAATTGACAAAATGAAGTGCCAATAAGACGGATGCCACATGAAATAGCAAGTAATGAAAAATGCATAAAGTGAGATATCTCGCTGACATGATAACTAAAACTAATAACAAAAAGTGTTTTGGCATCATTTGGAATTAGGATTTTGCATCATTCAACGAATACTGAAACCCCTTAAAGTATTTTAGTCAGAATAAGTGTTTGCATTTATACAGTTAAGTTTATTTACAATCTTGATGTTCTCAGTCCATTTACCATGCCCAAAAAGCGTTTCCAAGTGATAGAGGAGAAGCGAGCCTTTTTCATATGGAATTCGAGAGAAGCAGTCATCCGGATGAACATTACGGAGATCCGGTATCATCTTGGTTAGAGGACTGCATTCTCCAAGGTCACGAACCTAAAAATATAACAAAAACAGGCAGGTATATCAATAAGTACCCTAGATAAATGGCAAAGTAAAAACTTAATAAAATAAACACTATAATTTGATTAATTTAAATTAAATATTCATTTAACTAAAGGTGTGAAGACCAAGTTAGTGTTGCCTTTAGTATGGTCAAGATCTCCCTTTCCTGTATTGAAGTGGTTTGAACTCGTTTTCACAACTTGGTCGTAACATGAGAGAGACCTAGACTAATGTACTTTGTCCAGCACATAATCCGTAGATAGATAATAAATGGATGGAGTTCACTCGTGTATTTGACTAGTCGTAGAGTGGTGCTAAGAATAGTAAGGCTCCCTGACGGTGCCAGAGATACGTCTGGTAATGTACCAAGTAAACGGTCCAAAGCTGGAAAGTATCAAGGACTGCGGGAAAAGTGGGTTCATCTAGGTCTTTCTTACAATACGACCAAATCGTAAAAATAGGATCAAATCACTTCTAAAAAAAACATAATTGTTTGAGCGATCATATGAAATGATTTCCATTTAAATTGTCTGGCAAAAATACCGAGATTGAGTCCTGTAAAATTGTTTGCATGTAAAGTAGTAGAAAAGGTGTATTAATAGGATATAAAATAATCATGAAAATGTGTACACATACTTCTTACGAAAAAGCTACAGCAATGTTTTCTAAAAGTGAAGGGCTAGTAATAATAAAAGCGATTAAAACAGAGAGTAGGTCTGAAATAGGATTAGGAACAGCGACAAGGCAAAAAATTCAATTAAAATTCCGAGTAATTCGGACAAAGAATCTTAGACATTATGACCAAGAAAAACTCGAGGCATCTTAATGCCATTATGAACGTGATGAAATTGGAAAGATGATTATTTGCATTCATGTTGCAGTACCTGAGCAAAGGAGATTAAATAATTCCTAAGTCTGTCAATAGATAACACAAGCCTAAGTCTTTGCCACTACTCTCTG